ATCTTCTTCGGAATTGCTGCCTGGAACTCGTATATTCTCCTCTATTGGCAATGGATGTATATCTTGGCAGAACATGAAAGGGAACGAGGATCTGCCAAAACAAGCGAAAATGCAAAATCAAAAAATTAAGTGAGAAGAAGATGTGATCGCTGGAACAATAATTTTATTCGCCTGACGTTTCAAAATCCGTTGCTGATCCATCCAATAGATACAATTACAGACAAGGTGTAGTCAATACGCAGGGACTCGCAGTATTAATAGGCTATCATTTTTATGCTACTGCATACCCGTGACAATAAATGGCTCCCTCCTATTGAAGATAGTTGTCCGCTTGTGTGCTAATTGCTTCATGACTGGTACACAGGTCGTGACCTGCTGCATTTTTCGATTGATATCCTTTTCACGTTCCGTTTAATAGAAGTACTGCCTTTGTGTGCAGCAATCCGATGCACATGGATGTCATCCTTTACCTAAATGGTAGCACATTGTCATAAAACAGAACTTCTTGCGTGCAACTGGGTCCTAGAGTACTCTAAGCTAGGGCTGTTAACTGAAAAGGATCAATACTATGGCCCAAATGAGCAATTTTACCCAATTCCGGTGGTTCCGTTATCGGTATGGCTGATTTAGCGAAAAAAATGCATGTATATCTCAGAGTTGAACCCTTACAAATATAAACATAACTGAGCTATCAATAAAAAGATTATCTATCTTATTATTTGTTTTATAATGTTAACACTGAACATAAAACATGCTTAGGAAACTTTAATTTATTTGGTAAAATCTGCAGGCAATTTCCTCCAGTGCCCAGAATCAAATCCATCCTGCTCTCGTCCACGCATTTATTGCAAGGGTGATACCAAAGTTTGTTTGTTCATTGCCTAAATTGGTGCATTTAAGGCGCAGTATTCATGTCGTCCTGATTAGCTGGCAATTCTTCACTAATATTCTGCAATATTTGTTCTATATTTGACCAAAGCTCGCATCCATGCTCGCCCAAAAATGGGTGTTACCTGGTACCGTTGTTAAATTTTTTTATTCGCCTCTAACACTTACTGCGTGATAGGGGTTGAGACTCGGGAGTTTTAGGCCTTGGCAAGCGAAAATTTTGAAAAGGTTATTTGAACTGGCAGTCAGTGCGGATTTCCGTCTGTCATTTATCACGGTCTGATCCACGCCCTGTTGCAGAAATTCCTAATTGCTGATTTCCTGAGGGCTCTCTGTTGACTGGCTCTTCACCTCGAGGACTTGACCTCAGTACCTCGAGGCGACAGGGCCGGAAGTGTGACTGACGTGCGACAGGCGGGTCAGGGCTTGTGTTAATCGAGAACGAAATCTGAACAGACGAGGTTCTTGCCTGCCGTCCGGTGCAGACGGGCGTGAGATCTCTCTGTCGGGATTAGTGAATTAGCCAATACGAGCAAGCGAGCCAAGC